AAAAGAAAGCTCTCTTGCCCTGAGGGAAGAGCCAGACATCGTGCAGTGCCATGTCTGGAGGGTGAGTGGATGAGGACACAGCGTCCACCATGTTTCCGGAGCTGCCTTCTGCTACACGGTGCTCAGCAGCAGCAGCAGCATCTACCATATCTTGCTCACACCTCCTAATGTAAGGAGGACTCGAGCTGCTGCCAAAAGTTGCAACGGGCTGGGTATACAGCTCCGTGGCACAGGTGCCTGCCTGGCAAGCACAAGGAGCTGAGTTCGATTCCTGTACCAGAAAGTGGCAAGGACGGGATAGGCATGTCTGAACTGCAGGGAGCGCTAGGGTTTCCTGCGCTGGTCTGTGACTGTAATCCAGGGTTCACACTCTGCCCTCGGCCACCCTTGCGCGTGCAAGGCCTTTGCTCTCTTTAGTTGAGAACTGTACATACCCCTGGGCCCCGGGTGTTGGCGGGGCCCTCGATACGGGTGGCCAACCGTCTTCACCCAAGCGGTCAAAGGATGGGGGCATCTCTGGGCAAGTACAGGAATGAATGGGGCAGCTGGCAGGATCCCAGGTCACTGCTGGGATTGCGCTGCCACCTGGTGGCCAACTGGGGACTCAGCTCGCCGTGAACAGGCATGTGGAAAAGAGAGCCCTGCTCAGGGGAGACTGGGTAGGGCGAACCTTGGCGCCCCCAGTGCTGGGATGCAGTGGGGAGCAGCTCCCTGAACGCACTGGAGGCCACAGTCATCTGTCACCTTCATAGTGCAGCAGGCTGCCACTCACAAGCGGTTTTCAGCGAGAAGAGAGTAATCCCTAAAGTGAGGCCTCCTGTGCTCCAATCTCTTTTCTTTCTAAAATTTAATTTTCAAGCTGGGCATGGTGGTGTACACCTGTAATCCTGGCACTTGGAAGGCTTGGGCAGGAAGATCACTGTGAGTTTGAGACCAGTCTGGGCTACAAAGTAAGCTCAAGGCCAACCTGAAATGCAGAGGGAGACCCTGTCTTAAAAAAAATAACAAAATAGGGGCTGGTGAGATGGCTCAGTGGTCTAAAGCACCTACTTAGAACAAGCTTAGCAAAGCATAGGGACCGCGGTTCAATCCCCCAGCACCACATGCCAGCCAGCCCCGCCCCCTGGTGGGCTGAGCTGGCCCCACACACACGTAAAATAAAATAAAATAAAATTAAAAAATTCTCAGCCAGGAGTGATGGCACACACCTGTAATCCCAGCACTCAGGAGGCTGAGGCAGGAGGATTGCTGCAAGGTTGAGGCCAGCCTGGGCTGCATAGTGAGTTCAGAGCCAGCATGAGCCAGACCTTGTCTCAGAGGAGCAAAACAAAGCCAGGTGGGGTGGTGCACACCTGTAATCTCTGCATGTCGGAGGCCAGAGCAGGAGGGTTGTTTAAAAATAACAGCTGGGGATGCGGTTCCAGGTGAAGGCCCTGGGCTCAGTCTCCAGTGCTACAACAACAACAACAACAACAACAACAATGATTACATCCCCAGCCCTAATTTCGCGATAGGGTCTCACTAAGTCCCCAGTCACAGGCCAGGCTCGGAGCTGCACGACCCTCCCTCCTCAGCCTCCCAGAATGCTGGCCTTGCCGGCGTGCAGCACCACGCCCGCCAGCTCCTGCACTTTGAGCTGAGCTGCCGTAATGGCACAGTGTTTTGAAACTTGCACACATGGCGGGATGATTCTATGAAGCTCTTAACACACCCATCACTGCTCCTGTTATCAAGTGCTTATCCAGCTTCTCAAGGGGCCGTCTTGAATTCCCAGCTTTCTTGGGTGGGAAATGGCTCTGCGCCTGCTACCTGTGTTGTGGCTGCCTGCCGAGGGATTAATGCACCATTACGAGTTACTCCCTGCGTGTAAAGCGCTCCCGGGAGCCCTCCCCTCTTGGCGTCTGTACGGTCTCCCTCGTGCAGTTCCTCCTACTTGGAGAGGGGAGGAGCTCTGCCTGGCTGTGTCCTAGCTGAAGGTATGGGAGCCTTCACTGCAGAACACTGAAATCACCAGGCATCCATCCGTGGAGCACAGCAGCTCTGTGGAGTAGGTCTGTGGAGTGGGGGAGGTGCGAGGGGGGACAGGGGTTGTGGCAGTGTGCTCACGGCAACTTCCTGCATGCGTGCAGTAACAGCTCCATTGTACAGGTTATGCGCTTAGATGATGCCCCCCTTTGTTGTGTCACCTCTACATCACAAGCAGGGAAACTGAGGCACAGGGCACCACTTGCCCACCGCCCTGAAGCCCCTGTGGGGTCTGCTCCAGGTGCAGGCCTGGATCCTTTTTTTTAGGGGGGGGGGCGGAACAGACGCTTGAACTCAGGCCCTTGTGCTTGTCAGGCAAGCGCTTATTCTACTGAGCCATCTGCCCGGCCCCTGGGCCTGGAAGGCTCTACCTGCTGGGGATAACAGTGATGGTGGGAGGGGCTGGAGCCTTGGGACAATTAACCAAGGGAAGGCTGTGGAATTCTCTCTCCCTCTTAGTTAAGTAACTCGAAGGGTTGCATCGGCCCCCTGGGGGCGCCCTGTAGCCCCCAGAGAGAGGCGGTTCCGGTCCAGACCAGGCCGAGCCGGGCCCATGGAGCCCTATTCTTCCGATTCTTGGCATTGACGCTACTGCTCTGACTTATTTTTTCCTTGGCTCCTGGTTTATTATTTATAGAGCGGAAGGGGCGGGAGGTGTGGGAAGCGCCTGGGGACTGGGTGCAGGGTGTGTGCTGAGGGGTGAGCTGGCCCGGGAGAAGAGGGGGCGGGGCGTCAGTACAGTGCCTGTCCCAGAGCTGAGTCCCACAGTCACCTCCAGGCACTGGACACGAGTGGGGCCCGAGGCTTCTGGACCAGGCATGCTGAGGAACACCGAGTTTGGGGGGTAGGAGGAGGCTGGGACAGGGGAAAAGGGGTTGGAGGCCCCCTCAGCCATCTGTGGTCCTGAGAAGTGGCCATCAAGCTCTTGAACCTGCCATCCTCCTGCCTGCCTCAGCCTCCCAGCATGCTGGGATTCCACATGCACCACCAGCATGCCACCCCCTCCCCAGCGCCTGCAGGATGCAGAGGGACCTGGTGCCCAGGAGTGCCACCACTTGAGGTCACTCTTGGCCCCAGGGCCCAGAGAAACTCTAGGCAGCTCCAGCCGCTCTCTCATGCACCTGGGGATGGGGAGGAGCTGGCCACAAGTGGTGTCCATCGCATGAGGCGGGCATATGACCAGATGAGGCCAGAAGCTGCTCTGAAGGTGACAAGACTGGCTGGCCGTGTCTGGGGGGAGTTCAGGTGGTCTCCCTCCTGGCCGGAATACCAGGCAAGGCCATTGTGAGCTTCTTCTGTGGTCCTGGCGTTGAACCCTCATTCGCAGCTAGCTGAGCTACGCGCTCCAACACTTTTCGTTTTATCTTGAGACAGGCTCTCGGTAGTGTGCTAAATTGCCCAGCCTGCACTCAAATTTGCAATCCTCCTTCCTCAGCCTCCCAGCGAGCTGGGATTACAGGTGTGCACCACCCATCCAGGTGAAGGATGAAGTTCATGTGCACACTACGATATTAAATCTGCGGCCTCTCCCTTGCTCTGGCTGTTTCTCTTCTCCTTGCCTCCATGTCTGCTTCTGTAAACCTCAGTGCTTGGGCCGTGGCAATGTTCCAGCTCAAACCGAGTACGCCTGTGTTTCTCAGCCTTGAACACACACACACACACACACACACACACACACACACACACAACTTGTACAGAGTTTCTGAGAAAATAAAGCCACCCTGGATGTGTGAGACCAGAGCCCTGTGTCCCCTGCATCTCACACCACTGCCCCCTGCTGCCTCCGTCCCTGCCCTGCTGTATGTCTTTCCCTCGATCCTCCCAAATCCACTTTTTCTGCCCTCTGTGGAGGGCACCTGTGCCTGCGCCTCCTCTTGCCTACCCTGTCCCCAAGCAGCTGCTGCTGCAGTTCCCTCTGGAGGCTGAGCACCTCCTGGAAGTGGCTCCCCTCGCCCTGTGCAGCTTCAGCTGAGATCTCAGTCACTCGTGGCATCCCTGACTCAGTGTCCACCTCTCCACCGGTCCGAAGGTCACCATCAAAGCACCCTGTCAGCTTGTCCTGGCCCCATCTGTCCCCAGCCTCTTACATCTGGTGAGGTGGGGAGACACTGGCTACAACCTTGCTCGGGCAAGGACAGTGGATTCCCAAAGTTGTTGCAGGGCAGGGCTGGCATACAGAGATGTGGCTCTGGCCGGACAAGCTGGCTGCAGAGCGCGGTCTTGGTGTAAGTGCACGGTGGGACCCTCTGGGAGCCGTCAGGCAGAGATGGATCAGGATGGATATCGAGACGCCAGAGAGCCTGGCAGGCGCCCTCTGTAGTGGGGCCCAGCCCCCAGCCCTGGAGGATGCAGTCTGGGCACGGCTGGGGAGGGGGCCGAGGGCCTGGCAAGGCAGCCAGCTGGCTCCAGCTCTATCCTCTCCTGTCTGCAGCCCACGGAGGCAGCGCAGGTTGGGAATGTGCCGAGACGGGTTTGCAGTCACCTGGGCTGACGGACCAGCTGGTGCCCACAAATGTCATGGCACTGGATAGACAGACACCTAGGCAGGGACTCCCACTTTGGACAGGCGCACAGGGAGCACCACAGGCCTCGTCTCACCGAGTCTCAATGTTAGTGCAGCTTCAGAGCCACGCAATCCCACTCCAAAGCTCCAAGCCCCAGGAGGTCCCAATGCTGAATCTTTGGCCAAACACAGAAGCACGAGTTGCTGGTACACGGACCCCTGCCCATGGCCACACCCGCCCTTGCACTCCTCCATGTGATCTTTCCGGCCACCAAGCCAGCTCACGGGAGGTCGCCCTCAACTTCCACAGATGCACAGTCCAGCGAGTGGCTTGCTGTAGCACACACACAGAGCCATTGTCTCAGAGCGTGGGGGACGCCCAGGCCAGGAAGGAGGGAGCAGCCCCAGCCCTGCCTGCATCTCTTGCTGCCCACTGGTGTGCGGCGATGACCTCAGGACAGAGCCGGCACCCCTCTGCCATGTCTGCTCCCACTTTTGTTGTCTGAGTGGAAGGGTGTGTGCAGCAGGGGTGCTGGGACCTCACCAGCCCTGAAGCAACTGCAGGGGTGGGTTTCCGGGTGCTGAGGAAGAGAGAGGTGGAGACCCACACAGCATTTCTAGGTTCTCTGCAAGAGATTCCAACTGGGCTCAGGAGAGCTACCTTTCTCCCCGAGCAGAGCAGTTTCTGTGCCTTTCTCTCTCTCGCTCAAGGAGCAGTCCCGCCCTTTGTCCTCCTCCAGGAGCAAGCACTCTCTCTGAGCTTGCCTGTCACTGCTCCCACAGGCAGGAAACTCGTTCTAAACCCTTCCCAGTGGCCCTTCTCCCCCCAGTCAGCCCTATCACCCGATCACAACATCACCCCAGTGCCGGCACCTCTGGGACATTCTGCTCTTTTTGACATCCACAGAGTTGATCTAAGGCAGCAGAAGCTACAGGGAGGGAAGGGGCTGCTTCTCTGGCTGCAGGCATAGAGCTGTGGTGAGGACCCCACTCCTCTGGTCTAGAAGCCACTCTCCCACTCTGGAGGACAAGGGGCAAAGGGTCCATCTGAGGACCAAGCCCTGGCCTTGGGTGGCTGAGGTGGCTCTTCAGGGAGGAAGTGCTTCCCGCCAGAGTGAAGCCCTACAGAAGCACTGGGAGGACAGAGGATGGGCCACCAGGCAGCGGCCATCCTGGGCCCCAAGGGCCACGCACGCACTCACCCCACGAAGTAGGAGATGATCAGAAGCTGGACCGCTCGGTTGATGACCCCGATGGTCCAGCTCTTTACCACCACCGACTTGGTGGTCTCGTAGGTGAAGAAGTCCGAGATGCAGTTCATGCTGCCACAGTGCTGGGGACACCCCTGGGGCCCAGTGGCAGCCTCAGGAGAGGTGTTCAGGAGGGACAGGGGACACAGATGCAAGCCCAGAAGGGCTAGGCGTTCTCCCACGCCAGGCGCCCCAGCCCAGCGCCCAGGAGCTCTACTGCTCTACTGCTCTACACTCAGTCTGCCAAGAGTCTGAGGCCAGGGCGGGGGACCCCCTTTTATTCGTCTCCACCCCACTCCCCAGTGATGTCACCGCCAGGGTGGGGTCTCCAGCTGGGCTCCTGATTGCCTGCCTGCAGCTGGTGAGGGCCCTCTGGGACTCATGTTTTATCTGCACTCTGCCTACTGTTGCCTCCGCGCTCTTTGGCTGCATCCTCGTCCCCGCTCACCAGCTGCCTCAGAGTCTCCTTGAGGCCCCTCGAGACGCCCCTCTGCCAGTCATCAACAGCCCCTTTGAGCTGAGCTGAGTTTCCAACAGTGCAAGAGCATGTGTGTGGTTCTCTTGACCATTTCTCTGGGTGTCGGGAGAAGGGACCAGCAGAGTCCCATATCCCTAATGCCAGCTGGCAAGGGCTGGCCCCTGGCGTAGCTTTCTCTCCTACCGGTAGGCTACTTATCCAAACCTCTAGTCCATTGTGCGCACTGTCTGGAAGGCTGGGGCTGTTCCTATCCTGCGCCTTCACTTCCTCAAAGCCTGGAAGTGCACTGGATTCATAATGAGCCCGCGGTACATATGCATTAAAGCTAATTGAATTTATAAGGCTAGGCAGAGCTGGCCACAGGGCTATTTAACCAGCTCCGCAGGCATTCTGTTGTCTGCTATCCCAGGACTGGGCTAGCATGCTTGTGTCATGACTGTATGGGGAATTAAATATTCCGACTTTATATGGCACACACACACACTATCAGTCACCTTGAGCACAGAGCTGCTGTGACTATGTTCAGAGACCCCCACTGGTTTTCGATCTGGGCTCCAGTCTCTGGCTTTGTTGCCAACTCCCTGAGACCCCGGGAAACGCCCTTTTGGGCTTTAGTTTCCTCATCTGCACAAAGAGATGGGGGCCATTCAACATCGCCTCCAGGCCTGTACTGCTCTGGGGCTGCGGGGTGGCTGGAGGGCGGGAGGTGAGGCTGGCCAAGTGTATCGGCTCAGCTCTGGCAACCACGTTAACCAGACAACGGTGCTCGCAGCCTGCGGGCCCCGCGCCAGCTCCTGGCCGGGGACTGGGGAGGGAATGGAGACCCGGGCGCGGGCAGCGCCCTGCCTGCAGAAGGGGTGTGACCCCAGCTACGGGCGCCGGGGCAGCAGGCAGGCCGGCCGGCCACAGACCCCCGAGTTTGGCGCGGCGGCGGGCTGCGTTCCTGCACAGCGCGCGGATGCTGTCCCGCGGGCAGACCCTTTGCACGCCGCAGAAACGGCTGGAGGAGTGAAGCTCCTGTGTCCAACACACCCCCAGCCCTATAGAGAGCCACACGACTCCCCCTTTGACTCTAGTCACCCCTTGCACAAGTGCCTGCAGCTTTATACTACAGCGCTTTCCATGCTCCCGTTTGCGAGTCAGTTTGCCTCGGGGCTGGATTCCACGGCTCCCACGGCTCCCGCGACTCCTTCAGGTCGTCCAGAGTCACCGACGATCTATCCGCCAGTCTCGTCGGCCTGCGCGGCCCGGGCCCCTCTAGCCGGCTTTTTCTCTCTATGGTTCGTGAGATACTTCCGGTGGCGGGATCCGGGGCGCGCACGCGGGAAAAGCTCCACTGGAGCCCCCCCGCCCCTCCCTAGCGTCCCTAGCGCGCCCACCGCCCACCCGGGGCAGTCGCGAGGCAGCGGCTGAGAGAGGTGAGAGGTCGCGGGTCCCGGTCCCCAGGCGGGCGCTCGCCCTGCTCCCCTGCGCGATGCTCGCTGTGGACCGTTCCGCGTTCAAATCGGCGGGCGGCGGGCGAGACCATTTTGGCAGGAGGGGGTCGTGGGCGCCAGGGGAAGGGGCCCTGCACGCCGCCTCCGCTCCAGGCCGGCTCCCCAGGGCGCACCTCAGTGTGTCGGGTTGGGGTGTCAGCGGCCTGCAGGTTCCTGGTAGAGAGGGGCCGGGACCTGCCTGCTCCCGCGCACCTGGGCTCGGAACCCGGCAGGGCCGCGATCGCAGCGAGGCGGCACCATGCAGGTCTATCTCCTCCCTCCTGAACCCAGATCCTCCGCACTCTGAATTCCTGCACCCCCATCCAGAAGTTGGGGCCTGGCTCCCGGCCACCCCGGGCAGGTCAGCATGGCCGAGACGCTGGAGTTCAACGACATCTACCAGGAGGTGAAAGGTTCCATGGTGAGCGGGCTTAGGGCGTGTGGTAGGGGTGCCGAGGGAAGCAGAGCAGGGAGTTGTTCTTGCAGAAGCGTAACTTCGGTGATGCTGCAACTTCTGAAGACTGGGATGTTGTGTACCTGTTGTTTCTCCCAGCAAAGACAGCAGAGACAGGCCTCCCAAGGGTTGCAGCACCTCCAGGGCTGAAGGCTTGTGGCTCTGTTCAAGTCCAATCCCTGCTGCTAATAAATAGGGAACTTGCGGGTCTGTAAGGCTGCAGATGCAAGAGCAGCAGAGTTCAGGTCTCCGGGACGCTTGGTGCTTTTTTTTACTGGTCCTCCCGGTTGCCATTCCTGCTCTGGAGACCTCACCAGTCCTTGGCAGCCAGAGAGGCTGTGGGATAGACCTGGGCCGTCAGTCTCGTGTGTCGTGCTCCTGCATCTGGCCAATTATTTCCTGCAGAATGATGGTCGCCTAAGGTTGAGCCGCCAGGGCATCATGTTCAAGAACAGCAAGACAGGCAAAGTGGACAACGTCCAGGCCGGGGAGCTGACAGAGGGCATCTGGCGCCGGGTAGCTCTGGGCCATGGACTGAAACTGCTCACCAAGAATGGCCATGTCTACAAATATGATGGCTTCCGGGAATCGGTGAGGCCCACTTCAAGTCCCCTCTTGCCAGGCCATCTTGGTTATTGGCAAGCCTCTAGAGAGTTGGTGTTCCTTGTGATAACCATGCTGCTGTCTGTTGGTTTGGGCTCCATAAGCAGGGTTCTTAAGGCCGCTGCACAATGCGTGTTCTGCTTTGGTTTTTTCTGAGACTTGCAATGTCCTTCAGGCTGACCTTGAACTCACCAGGTGGCCCAGGCCAGCCTTAGGAAGCAATCCTCTCGCTTTAGCCTCCCAAGTGCAGGGATTATGGGCGCGCACCACCATGTCCTTGTCATGTTTTGACTCTAGATTACTATTTTTTAAGGTGGATAATGCCAGCTACTTTGAGCTAGATTTAGAATCTTAAACCAGGCATGGTGTCACAGGGGAGACTGGAAGATTGCAAGTTTGAGCCCAACTTGAGCAACTTCATGTTTAGTTACAGTTGTGTCTCAAAATTTAAAAAGAGTCAGCTGAGATGTGTAGGCGGCAGTATCGGTCCGTCCCTTCCTTTACACCCGTCTTAGCCTAAGGTCTGCTTCTTAGAAAGAGCCTGTGTGTCACCTTTTAAGCAACTTCAGAGGTGAGCTATAAAGTCAGGTGGACTCGAGGCTTTGTTCCCAGAGGTGGTTCCAGGGCGGTAAAGCTGTGTAGTCTTAAGAGTCACTGCTGCTGTGCGTTTTCTTCTCCACCCGCAGGAGTTTGAGAAACTCTCTGATTTCTTCAAAACTCACTACCGCCTGGAGCTCATGGAGAAGGACCTGTGTGTGAAGGGCTGGAACTGGGGAACAG